CGGTAGGTGTCGCTCATTAACCATGGAAAAACAAGAATCAGGAGATCTCCTATTGGATTCCCATACTCTGCTGCACTCCCCATCTTGGTTACATATGGAAGTGTCCTCCTATTCTACTTCAACATTACCTGGTATGTTCCTCCCTTCGTCTCTCAATTTCCCAATTTAGCAGTCATCCCCTGGTCATGTGCTCTCTTAGGATTGGGATTCAGTTTAGGAAACACTTTGGAATACAGTCTTTCAATGTTTGTGCTCCTCTGCATGTAAACCATTTGTTTGCTTCTTCTGTTATAGACCAGCCATTATAATAATAATAATAATAATAATAATAATAATAATAATAATAATAATAACAACAACTGCTTACACGTTTATATGGACACTCCACTCAAAGCACTTTACAGGTAATGGGGATCCCCTCCACCACCACCAATGTGCAGCCCCACCTGGATGATGTGACGGCGGCCACAGTGCGCCAGAACACTCACCACACGTCGGCTTTCAGTGGGAAGGAGGGCAGAGTAAACTTTCCCAAACATTGATCCTGAATGTGTGATAAGTGGAAGCAGGCCCCTGCTACTCCTTTCCACATGTACTGGTCTTGTTCCACACTGAAATCATTTTGCAAGTCTATATTTGAAACTCTTAAACAATTTTAGATGTGCTGAGCTCCCTCCTCTGATAGTTAACTTTGGTGTACCTCATAATTACGTTTTATCCAATATTCAGTTAGGCATGCTGGCCTTTACTAGCAATACATTTGATTTTGCTCCATTGAACACAACCTTTACTCACTGAATAAGGGATGTGATGTACTTTCTCCAGCCTTGTTTTCCCTTTGTTGGCTCAATTGCAAAAATATATTCTGCCTGGCAGCCCTATTTAAACTTCTTTTAGAGCTTGCAGCTCAACCAGACCTCTGCAAGACCCTGAAGACTGTGGCTTCGCTCTTCTCAGCCAGTAGCCATCTCGTTCTGCACCTCACAACTGGAATTCCACTGAAGCTCAGCAGGTGTGAGCCTGGTCAGTACCTGGATGGCAGACCTCCTGGGGAAAAACTCAGGTTGCTGCTGAAAGAGGTGTTAGTGGGGCCAGCAGGGGGTTCTCACCCCGTGGTCCATGTGGGTCCTAATGACCTAGTATAGTGATGGTGATGCTATACTGTAAACAGGTGCTGTCCTTTGGAAGAGATGTTAGACCGAGGTCCTGACTCTCCGTGGTCATTAAAGATCCCAGGGCATTGCTTGAAAAGAGTAGGGGTGTCCTGGGCAAATTTCCCATTGGCTCTTACCAATCATGGCCTCCTAATAATCCTCCGCTATAAATTGGCTTCATTAGTCTGCTCTCCTCCCCACTGCTAGCTGGTGTGTGGTGAGTGTTCTTGTGCACTATGACTGCCATGGCATCATCCAGGTGGATTCTGCACATTGGTGGTGGAGGGCAGTCCCCATTACCTGTAAAGCACTTTGAGTGGAGTGTCCAGAAAAGCGCTATATAAGTGTAAGCAATTCTTATTATTATGTCCTTTCACTACTTTTTTTTTCTCTTTTCCCATCGGTTATCTCTTTCCCATCGCAGGTTTCATTTTTTATTTCTTCTCCTTTCTTCCTATTTTTATATCAGTGTTGGATCCATCTAATTTGTTTAGATCCCAAGTCTGTGATGACATTACAAGGTCGTTTTCAGCAGCATAAGCTGTGATGATTTGAACACGGCGCCTCTGTAGGCAGGAGGGGTGGGTGGAGGGCTTTGTGACGTATCGGAAACGTGTGCCTTTGTCAGCTGTTTCACTGCTACTATCTCTGCACTGGGTTAGCTCAATGGTTACTTCAAACTTTGCAAGTTTCTCATTCCGCGGCCGCAAGGTTGCTGGGTTCGGACCATGGGCGCTGTCCAGTGTTTTTGTTTTTTTTTCCTCCTTTTTTTCTTTTAAACTTAGGAACATGAATCTTCATTTAAGGCTGCTTAATGGGACCAAAATTGTTCAAATCGCATTTGAGCTCTAATTTCGACACGTTGCCTTAATAACATAATCCACAATAACTGATAAAAATGTTCAGTGCTGTCATTTTTTTCTAATTTGTCTGAACTGTTTTCAGATTTTCTGTGCTTCAAGCAAAGGTCTCAGGTTATTCTCGAGAACGCCGATAATTATTTTTGTTTGGAAGAAGCGTGTGTGATGTTAAAAGTGTGAGGATTACTTAAAAATGTGCGGATTATTTACACTTACAAGTGCTGACTTGTTTTTTTCTTTTCTTATGCACGTATATTTCTTATTAATGGATTCATGTTGTGTTAAATGTATTAATGCAAATTTCCCATCTGGAACAACTAAAGAAACATATAAATACAGCCTTTTGTTTTCGGGTGTTTTATCTATTTTTTATTTTCGAAAGGTGGTAAACGTTATGTTTGATTTTTATTGTGATATAAAATCGTTAAGAATCCTGTTCTATGTGCTTCCTCGGCTTTGTAACAATTACTTCATGGAAATTCTTATTCTATTATTGATATATTGATAGAACAGCAGGGGTTGCTCAAGCACCGTATAAAGAAAGGACAGCACTAGGCTTGCCTTAACTTCTGTGATAGAGATGATTTATGAAACAAGGTGTTTGGACAAATACTGAAACTGTACAAGCATAAAGTACGAGCAACGTAAGACATCTTAAATGTTCAGGCTTATTTTACATACAAATAAGTTAAACTGTTGCAGTCTTTCTATACTCAGAGGTACAGTAGCTCATCGATGAAAATATCCACATCTGCATAGTCATTTTGCAGCACATACGGATAGTAATTCATAAATGTGGGCATATCCTATAGTTATTTCCTTGCATAACATACCCACATTTATCCATCAAAGACATTTATCCATTTTACAATAGCACAGCTATTATCAAATGTTACATTTATCAAAACATCCGCTAGATGGCATCCAAGGATTATTTTTGAAATAATTTGCGGCTCAAAGTTAATTGAGCAAATTCTCACGATTCCAAGGTATACCAACTTCGCCTTTAACTTTTAATCTATGCATTAGTGCAAACCTCGTTCTTCGTGAATGTTTTTTTTTCTCTTTTTAGTGATGATTATTAAGACAAAGATGAAAAACAACTGTGCCACCAACAGACATTTCACCAGGGACAGCACCATCACTTAGTGAGAACGGTTTGGTTTATCCCCCCTGGGTAGTTGGGAGCCTCCTGGCCATAGGGCGAAGACGTTCACTCCTTATGATCCCAACTCAGAAGAAGGGAACCAATCTTTGAGACAAACGCGAAAGGAGGTGTTCGTGTACGATATACAGAGCTAATTTCGCAATAATGGTGATGAGATACAGCTCTGTGTAATTATCTTGTCATTGTCGTCCTTCCCGAACTTCAGTTAATAACTTCCATTTCTCATTTCAAGACGATAATTAATTTGTAAAAAAAAACCTCTTGAGGGTATGCAAAAAATCACTATACCCACAAAGCCATATAAAACAGTAAATGTCAAAAATTGACAGCATTAAATCATTCGTTTTATGGTTGCCAGGAGTCTTTTATCATTACGCATTGTCCCACACGGCAAGGAACTTCGTATAAATTAGATTGTGTTTGTGGTTGCCGTTGATTGTCAATACTTGGTGAATTAGAACGATGACCTACTAGTACAACCCCATCGTTCAGGTTAATCGAGGGTTGTTTTAGCAGGGATTGGGAAGAGGGAGCTGATGAAAGTCGCGGGAAAGTAAAAGAAAGGCTCACGGTAGATGCAGTTCAAATGAATGCGACAACTATCGAGAAAACCCCGACACATTAAACATAGTACATTGGGATTATTTTTCAGAAACATTTGTATTTATCTGTTCGAGAATAGCTGATCCCGGATAGCTGAATGATAATCCCGCTCTCCATTAATTAAAAAGAATGGGAATCCAATGTAAACCGTGTTTTACAAAATGTAATCATTTCTGGAAAAGCTTAACCATCTGCTAGAGGTTAACTCTCTGAACAGATTGTGTTTTCTGGTCATTTAAACCAAGGGATTTTACTTTTTTATTATTTGTGTGTGTGCGGGGGGTGATTTTCTTCTTTCTTCTCTGATTATATGAACATACGTGGAGGAAATCGGCCATCTCTCACCACACCGCTTAGCGTTTTCAGCGCGGAAAAACTAGCAGCTTGCTCTGTTAATTAAAATACGAGTGCCTGCAGGTGTTGGGACAAAACCGCGTGTTGCCTGTTCACTGGGAGTTACTTCAAGCCCTGCGTTATGTTATGTGAAGAAATGTTAAAAAGGAGAAGCGCTGGTAACCATTGGCTTAGAAAGATGATTGATCTTTTACCTGGTTGCACTGATAAACAAATAATATACATGAAATAATTAAGCGGTGTAAAGAGAATTTGTTTCACTCAACTTTTTCTGACTGGAAATACCCCATGCCATAAACTTCACTTTATGAGTATAAAAATGTGAAAAATCATAATAGAAAGGCAATCAATTTCTTGTGGTGAAATAATAGATAAATAGTAACAGTATCCCGCAATTTCATTCTCAGAATTGCTTCGTGACCACTGGTATACTCAATGGACTGGACTGTATTCGTGAGGCAATGGAGCAATTTAGAGACGCCAAGGCGCAAGTGCTACCCAATATAGTGATCTGTCACAGTGTCAGATGTAAGGGACTACCTGTGATAAGATTCTATACAATAACGTCTATAAACACGTGGTACAAGTTAATATAACTTGTAGTGCGCTGCATATATGTTTTTAAACAACGTGGTTACAATATGTAAAATGTATGTTATGGTACCACAGTGGTGGATCTGAGCATCGAGAGGGTTAAACTGTCCACACTGTAATTACAGACGAAGCTCTCATGTCGCTGTCCTCCAATACGGTTCCGAATAAGTCTGCGATCCTCCCCCACCAGCCCCTTCCAAAATGCCTAATACACTGGAAAATCAGAGACAAAGTATCACACACCACTGGGGTAACAAGCAGTGAGCGAGACTGGGAAAGGACCCTGAGCTTTTCATTCGCGCAAAGTTTCGCGATGCAGTTTCTTTCTTTATATTTTTATTTACATCTGTTCCTGATATCCAGCTCCTTTCCGTGCTTTTACGCATTTTTACTTAATGGAAAGTTTTATTTATAGCATTTTTTAATTTTGATTTGAGTTAATAGAGACATCATGCTGATTATAAAAATATTCACTCGCAATATACTGGACTAAGGACCAAGCACAGCTGAAATGGAACTAAGGACTGTGAAAAGAAGACGGACGTGGAGAAGGCAAGTAACCTATCTAGTTTTTTGCGCTTGTGCTATGGATTTAGTCCTGGCTCAGATACGGTATTCGATTCCTGAGGAACTGGAGCACGGAGCTTTTGTTGGCAATATAGCGGAAGACTTGGGCTTAGACGTCGGCAAACTCTCTGCTCGAAGATTCAGGATTGTCTCTGGCGCTAGAAAACAGTATTTAGAAGTCAATTTGGAAAACGGGATTTTATTTGTGAACGAGAAGATTGATAGAGAAGAACTGTGTGAACAGAATCCGATCTGTTTTTTGCACTTGCAGGTGGTCATCGAGAACCCTTTGGAGCTGTATAGGGTGGAAGTAGAAATTCTGGATGTCAATGACAATGCCCCCAGTTTTCCATGGAGCGAATTTGTCCTCGAAATCACGGAGTCGGCGGCTCCCGGGTCTCGTTTCCCGCTTGAGAGCGCGCACGACCCAGACGTGGGCAGCAACTCTCTCCGCACATACCTGCTCAGCTCTAACGAGCACTTTGTCTTGGATATCCAGACACGGAGTGACGGCAGCAAGTTCGCAGAGCTGGTGCTCGAGAAACTTCTGGACAGAGAGCAGCAAAAGACTCACCAGGTGATTCTAACAGCAGTTGACGGGGGAATGCCAGAGAGATCTGGGACTGCACAGATCACAATCAATGTGCTGGATGCTAATGACAACGTACCGGTCTTCGATAAGTCCTCCTATCGAGTGAGTTTAGTGGAGAATGCAGCGAGGGGTACGCTGGTTATCAGACTTAATGCAACAGATTTAGACGAAGGATCTAACGGGGATATTTCTTACTCTTTTAGCGGGCACGCTCCTCTGAAAGTGCGAGAACTCTTCACTGTTGATTCACACTCTGGAGAGATAAGAGTCAAAGGGATCGTGGACTACGAAAAAGCCGGTGTGTATGAAATCTACGTGCAAGCCAAGGACAAAGGTCCGTCGGCTGTTGCCGTGCACTGCAAAATACTGGTTGACATTATAGATGTGAACGACAACGCACCAGAAGTGATTTTAACCTCAGTATCAACACCTGTACAAGAGGATGCTCCCCCGGGGACTGTAATAGCTGTCATCAGTGTGATGGATCGGGATTCGGGGGAAAACGGTAATGTCGACTGCGAGATCCCAAAGAATGTGCCATTCCAGCTCCACTCCTCTTTTAAGAATTATTATACTTTGGTTACAAGTGAATTTTTGGATAGGGAAACTGTGCCAGAGTACAACATTACTTTAACTGCTAGAGATCTGGGATCACCTCCTCTGTCTACAAAGAAAACTATCTTAGTTCAAGTCTCTGATATCAACGACAACGCTCCCCGATTCGTGCAACCTTCGTACACGGTCTATGTGACTGAGAATAACGCCCCCGGCGCTTCCATTTGCTCGGTGACCGCTTTTGATCCTGATTCGAATCAGAATGCGTATTTGTCGTACTCCATTCTGGAGGGCCATATTCAGGGCATGCCGGTGTCCACTTATGTTTCCATCAACTCAGACAACGGTAACATCTACGCGCTGCGCTCCTTTGACTACGAGCAACTGAGAAACTTTCAGATTCGAGTTCAAGCGCAAGACGCCGGGTTTCCGCCGCTGAGCAGCAACGTTACCGTGAACCTCTTTGTCTTGGATCAGAATGACAACGCTCCTGTCATTGTCTCGCCTTTACCCAAAAACGGCACAGTGGCCACGGAGATGGTCCCCAGATCTGTTGACGCCGGTTACCTGGTGGCGAAAATCACGGCAATAGACGCAGACGCGGGGCAAAACTCCCGTCTTTCATATCAGGTTCTCCAGGCGACAGACCCGGGACTGTTTAGCGTTGCGCTTTACACGGGAGAAATAAGGACAATCCGTCGATTTGTAGATAAAGATGCCATCAGGCAAAGACTAGTCATTTTGGTCAAGGACAACGGTCAACCACCCCTCTCGGCGACTGTTTCCATCATCTTATCAGTAGTTGACAGCGTGCCAGAATCTCTTTCTGATTTCAGCGACCTCACTCTAAGCCAAGAATCCCCCTCTAACCTAACGCTGTACTTAATAGTATCTCTGAGCACAATTTCCTTTATATTTCTGGTGGCTATAATCGTCCTGGCATCTATAAAATGTTACAAGGACAGAAATTCCATAAGGGGATGCGATTTCTCCTTTACCTCCTGCTGTGGGTTGAAACCCGAGGCTCCTACTGAAGTGTTTAAAAAATCCAACATTAACCTTCAGATATCTTCCGGAACTAAAGTGCCTACTAACTGTGTTGAAGTTAATGGCAATGGTCCCCTGTCTCAAGCCTACTGTTATAAAGTCTGTTTGACTCCGGAGTCGGCAAAAAGTGACTTCATGTTTTTAAAACCCTGTAGTCCAGCAACTCCCAGGAACAACGCTAAAGGTACAGATAACCTGGCTTCAGTCTGGAGCGGACAGAGCCGCACCAACACGGTGAACAACGGCGCTACTACACCGAGCGAGGTAAAGATAGTTCTATGTACACTGAATTCCTAAACACTGCATTCATTCTAGTCCTTTTGTGAATGATTTTATATGTGAATACACGTACGAGTTAGCAGTTTTGACATTGTAAGTCATTCGCGCAAGACGGAAGTTTCGGAATGCAGATCACGACATATTAATCATTTTAACCAAGACCATCTTAAAAATGAGCTAGGGTTCATTTTTATGTTCAATAACAGACTAGGTTTTGTCAGCCTCAATCAATCATTTGGCAGCTGCTCTGTCGCTGCATACATACTGAGACCGCGCACAGACTAACATGTACTTGTAACCCATGCCGTGAGTATTAATTTATGATAAAATATTTAGTGTATTTTTTTACAATAATGTTTTTAATAATATTTAAAACGTTCGCGTTTCTTTTAGGTTAAAATGTCGCTGCCGGTCCATTATCAAGCAAATCATTTTAAATTTAATATTTAAAGACAATTTTGTACATCCAATTAACATTTAATGGATTGTTAATTTAGATAAATATGTCCGCGCATAAACGATCCAATAGCTATATTTTCAACTGTTCCTTGCAGTCCCTTTTGCGTCTTTCATCGGCTGCCTATAGCCCTTGTCAGCTCGCTCCAATGATCTCAACATTTTAAAAAACGATGATCTATGATTGTAAATAGCACTGAAACTTAACCACATTCAATTAAAAAAGGCTGAATAGTTCAGACCGTGAGAAATACGAAGACAATGAAAGGATTATGAGCCAAGGTTATATCGATCACCTTCTTTAGCGTTCACTAAGTACTTCACAAATCTTTTTAGAATCTGTTCTATATTCGCACTCCTTGTCATTTCAACTTGATAAATCGATATATGCCGTGTACCTAGCCCCTTTCTACCGAAATCCACTAGATGGAGGCATCATACCACAAATGGACCACTGTAAGACGTCTGTTGCTTTGCACATGAAAACAGGCGCCTGTGTATGAATAGTGATCTGTATTAGTGAACAATCAGAGCTTAAAATATTCTGCCGAATGTTAGCGAAGATCCACGAATACAAAAGTCGTTTTACGTCATTTAGAAAAAGTGTTATTTTTTTGTTTCAAAACTTATCACATTAAAAAAATGGTAAATGAGTTTTAAGTGCACTCGCATCTGGAAGATGTTCGTTGCATGTTTTACAATCTAGCGCAAATGGGCCCCATGTGATATTGTAAAGTGGTCCGTCAAGTCTTTTCTCCGGAAATCAGCAGGTGACAAATAAGTGTAGGTGACGGCAATAAAACGAGCAGCAAGGGGCCTATTCGAGTGTAACCTTGACAATATGGAAATTGGTTCTGCAAAAAATAATACCTGCAGGCCTTTGGGAAACGGGAGGAAAGTTCAATCAACAAAGGGAGAACACGTAAGCCCCACACAGAAACCGCCCCAGCTCGGATTCAAACCTAGGGCTAAATAAGAACTACGAGGCCATCGCGCTAATACGTTTACTTAAATGCAAACATGCATCTGTATTTTTTCTAGATGAAGTGTGGAGTTTTGGAACATTTCGCTGTTACTTCAATAGATACCATCGAAGGTGCATTAAAAAAAAACAGATTCGACATTTATTGTTTCTAGCGCTTACTGAATGGGGGAAAGCAGCCCACTTTCTGCATTAATTCTCGAACTAATGGATTTAGGTTGTTCAAAGAAAACCACCAGCGGCAAAACTCAGAACCGTAGCTCGCTATAATTCCTTCATTTGACACAGCGCATATGTCTAAAGGAGATAAACCCGAAGACATTCTGTCAACAGGAACAAAAAACATGCTTCGCTTCACCACAAGCAGTCATTAATACACGAGCTCACGGTACATTAGCTTATTATCAAACGATTCCGATGGAAAAAAAAGGACAACCCCACCCATTTTAAATTATTATTCACTGCTCGGGTTTGCATGTGCTCGTTTGAAGATTTTAATCGTGTCTTGTTTCATCCTGGTGATTTTAATTGGCTTTACATGGCTAGCGTAAGGTACTTTGCATTCCGATTGTAATAAGCTTACACTGCATTTCCCTTGTTGAGTATTGTAAGTGAATTAATGGAGCATAGAGCATTATGCGTTTATATGAGGTGCAAAGGCATCTGGGGGCTATGTGTGTCTTCAGGTCTCCTGCTGGGTAACCTCTGATGAAAGAAAAATAAATTAGGCCGATGCACTGGAGGGAGCTAGCTGGAAAACCCGAGTGGATCAGCAAGTCAGTTATCATTTTGTGTCAGAAGAGGGCGGTGGAGCTGTATTTTTATGCGCATTGATGAGATTCAGATACGTCAACATTAAATATTAAAAACATTTTTGATTGACATATTAATTTTAAAGGTAAAGTAGCTTCTTTTAGCGTAACCATTTCTTCGGTATCCGTATAGCAATCTGCTTTAAAAGTATAGGCAAGTTTGCTGTTAATCCTCTAACAAATGGTAGAGTTAACCACAAGCACAGAACTATGCCGCGTCCTTCTGCTATAACAGTGAATGAATTTACAAATATATATTAAAATGAAGATTAAAATGCTACTACTGCCTATAATAATATGCCTTTTTGTGCGACTTCAATATACTATAACTGAGGAATTTAACAAAATCAGGTGTTTCAAATATGTATTAGATAATGACAATAATGAAAACTCTTGGAACATTTTTAATTATAAAGAGAAAAACAAATCAAAATGTATCTTGGTGTACTATAATGTTTGAACAGGACTCTGGAATGTCTGACAGCCTAGCTAATTTAGATTATCCAATAACAGTCTTGTTAAACTGTTAACCAGTAACCAGCGATGGAAATATACTAATTTTTCTTGTTCATGATTTTGCAGCTCAAACAGCCCAACACAGACTGGCCTCTATCAAAGAACCAAAATTCTACTCTTAAGAGGTACATTTAGTTTTAATTCTAAAATAACATTTACTCAACTCTAGCCTTCGGAAACGGTCCCTGAACATTTGGTCTTCTTCTGTGCTCCACAGCTACAGCTCCATGAACATGGAAGGCACTCTGGTACGGAAAGCTATGCAGAGAGAATCAGAAAATTTGGTAACTCCTGTGGGTGGTCAGTACTGGACATGGGGAACCCAGATGAGGGGTACGTGAGATTCACCAGTCCTTCGGTCTTTGGAAACACTTATAACTCAAAGAAACACCCTCCATTCTGTTATACTATACGTGAGTTTTTATCTTTTTTTGCTTGTACCCTTCCACTCGTATGCAGTGGCAAAATACAGGAGCACAGTCAGCTAGCTTTCTACCTGCATGATTGTTAATGGTACACGAATGGATATATGAGCATCCTCTTCTTCTGAGAGAAGAGAGAAACGGATGATGTAACATTTTACCGGTGTAAATGTTTAAATTATTTAATGAGTTTCAGGTGTTTTTGAGACGATTCAAGCTTTATGCACTGTAGATGACTTAATAAAATGCATATTATGGAGTGCTTTAGCAGAGGTTTTGCAATGCTGTCATGTTCCGTCATGCATCAGAAATGACTTTGATTTTCAGCGTTTCTTTATTTTGTAAAACAGATTGTAGAATGTCTTCACCAGCCGTTGGGGCCACAAATCGCGCCTGGACCCCAAGATACGGCCCACAATATCCACTACACCCACCTCCCGACTACCAGCACAACGTCTACATTCCCGGGACCCCAGCGTCACATTCCACACTGAGACCGGCGCAGCGCAGTGACGTCGACGTTAAGAACTCATTTTCAACGTTTGGGAAAAAAAGGAAGCTGATGTTAAATTCCGAATACAAAGACGACGCGATGATAAACAACGACCTTTCTAATAAATGATATCAATTGACTTGAAAAGATTGTTTCCGCGCATTAACGTAATTAATCTCGGGATCCCGGAGCAACCTTTGGTGACGCACGTTGTGACGCAACTTCGGTCATTTAAACTTCCTTGTCAAGAAGCATTTTCTTCACAATAAATTCAACAGGACCGCCTGGACCACAACATCCTGTTAATGTAGCTTAACATACTGTACTGCTACGTTTTTTGCATTGAAAGATTTAGTTGACAGTTTTATTGAAAGCATCTTAGGTTTGAACTCATTTATACTGCTAATTATTTTACTGGAGCGAACTGAGTGAAGTACTTAGCTGACAAGAGCAGTAGCAGTAAGTCTCACCTGGGATTTGAACCAAAGACCGTGCACGGAGGAGTCCAGGACCCTAACCAGTACTCCAGCCTGCTATCATTAACTGGCATGCCAATTCCACTCTTTTAAGTTGCCTGTACAGTTTTGCGAGTGCTGGCAATATACTGTAAATGTGGGCTGTAGAACCCAGGACATTTCACCCAACTAAATAACAGTGCTGCTACTACTACTAATAACAGCAACATTGCTTAATATTCATAATAATATTGATGTTTTTGTGTCTTTGGCCACTAACATACATTTTTCTTTATAAATAGGTGCTGGAACAGGTGTTTTTAGGTCTTTTTTGATAAAGATTATGTTCACAGTCGGTGATTTCCAGTGATCTAAAAACTTCATCATAATAAAAGATAATAAATAATAAATAGCTTTACAAATGAGAAGGAAGTTTCTCACTTCATCCACTACTGAAGTATATCTTCTGCCAGAAGCCCACGAGGTATAAGCTTAGCTTGGCATTATGGCCCACAAGCTCTGTGGAGCCCACCTTACTTGATCTTGATTTGCACCTGTACAGTTAAAAAATGTGATTTACAAAATTTTCACCAAGAATGAAAGAGAGTACTAGGAATCAGTTAAACAGAAATAGTGCAGTGCAAGTGAACAGAAATGTCTTGTGCATATTGCAATCTTTATAACATAGCACAATGTATGGCATGATTTTTGTAATTGTATATTCATTTTGAAATAAAATACTTTTTCTTATTACATCACGTTTAATCACGAAGAAAAGAGGTTTGTGACATTCATAGTGCTAAGCCGTATTAAGAGTGCAGTTATTTCATTATCAGCAATGGAATGAAGATGGTTTGCAGTGGAATGAAATCATTATATTGAGGTCATTTTACACCATGAACTATTCACTTCTGTCTCTTTTTACTCTTCAAAGCACTTGGCCAGTAATTCAGTACAAAGTTCAATGTAAATGTGTAATTTTGTTTAATTGCGTACATTTGAATATTTGGAATGCTTAAGCTAAAAATGTAAAAATGAAAAACTACTCGGAGCTTTCCTATTGACACGGAGAACAGTATGAGGTTTGAGGAGGTGGGTAGAGGCTTCTTGATGGGTTTGGGTGAAGACTATCAGCAACTGTTATCAGTCTGAGGGTGGCTGAATGGACTGAGACAGTGGTACTTGCTGCACCTCCCAGGTGACTGAATAGTTCAATAGGTACCACCTGTCACCTGGCCCATTTGTTGTCATTGCATGTGCAGATCGCACCACCCTCCCCTGTTCTGTGGTCTGATAAAAGACAGATTAGTTATCCAGTATATTCATTAGGATGCTCTCTGGAGTCCTTTTATTTTTATCCTGACTAACAGAACTGTATTTATCCCTCAAAGGTAATTTGTTTGCCAGGGAATTTCTGTGCCTATCTATTTTGAAAATTATTATTATTATTATTTGAGATTGGTGTCCGGGATTTAATTTTTGGTTTAACTCTGGATGGACAGGGTTGTCTTTACATACAGTAAAGCATGCATTAAGGATCTGAGAAAAAGGATTCCCCTGCTGTGAACCTGGTAGTCTTTGGAGAACTGGTAACATTTGTCTTACTCTGTTAAGAACATAAGAATATAAGAAAAGCTACAATCGAGAGGAGCCATTGGTCCCATCTAACCCTTTAAGTAACTGTTAATTGATCCAAGAATCTCATCCAACTCTTTCATGAAAGAAGCCATAGTACAACATGGCTGAGTAGCTTGTTCCAAACTCCTACAAACCTTTTGGGTAAAGTAATTCATCCTGCTCTTGGTTTTAAATGTACTTCCATGTATTTTCCACTTTGTTTCCACTTTTTTTCCCTCCGGTTAGTGTTTTACTTGTTAAAACATGTTAGCTGATCTCTCTCTTGAGCAGGACTCTCAATTCAGGCGGACGTCCTGGGAGTAGAGCTCCGTCCACTTTGGTGACAAGTCAAGGTTCTGTAAACCACTTTAATTAATGCCAGTGAATATGGCATAAATGTGCAGAATGAAGTGCTTATCATTGTGTACAATGACCAGTCAATTAGGACATCTGAGTAGAAATATCTTCTAGTACTGCTGTAGATCTAGACCTATAGACTTGAACCTCATTGAACATTTGTTGGAATAAGTAGCATCTTTAGCTCGGAGACCAATGAACAGGTATATGCTTCTCCAGGCTGGGTTAGAATAATGAGATAGTATTCCACAAGACTGCATCTGCAACTGCAGTATTAGCTTATAAAATAAGTAGACTCTCTATTGATCAACCTTGTTGATGGCCAAATGTGAGTGAAGTTAATGAATTTACTGTGCCATATCTGTTAATAACAAGGACCATGTACCTGCTACAAGAAGGTTTAACCATTTTCCTGATAATAACCTTTGTGAATTTGTTTCAGGTATAAGTGGTAAGTTTCTTCTGATGATAAGCATTTATAAATGTGAAATTGCTAGAGGACTTTGATAACCACTTAGTGTTAGTATATACTGTAAATCCTGTTTTAGTGAAGGCTTCACTTCATAGAGCAAGTACATGAGGTGCCAGGGACATTTGAGTTATACAACATATATAGTTTTTAGTAGGTTTGGGTGCAGTTCATGTGGAATAGTCTGCTGCATGTACAGTATTAAACAATGAACTTTGACTTCAGTTGTACAACACATTGAATCCGTTTGAATGTATTAATTATACTACACCATAACTGCTGCTTAAATAAGATTTTCTTGAAAATGGCCCATACTGTAATGGACACAATCATTAGAATTATTTTTTTAAAGACTTTATTGATCCCAATGGGAAATCGATGATTATATACCTTTAGAAAAGTTCCAAGCACTTTTTTTCTTTGTTGGAGTACCTGTCTACGTTTCCTTTAAAGGAATTAAGAATGTTTTAGCACAAATTTGTAAGTAAAGGCTAAATGAAGACCTTCAAATATAACTAACTAATAGTTATAATTGAAGAGTAATTAATACAAGAGTCATTAATATATAAGAATACCCTACCTAACTGTGGGAGACACACTCTTTTTTTCCCCAAGTATAAAATTATGATAAACACTTAGAGTTTTTATTTAGTGATTTTAATGATTGAGTGTCTGAAACCTTTCCATGCTGCTATGATCAATGTAATGAATATCATCATGCAGACTTTGTCTGAAGACTAATGAAGATGTTACAGATTGAGAGAATTGTTGGGTTATCTTAGAAAGTGGGCTTTCACAGTGTTCTTAGAAGGAGGATGTAGTTTGTTAATGCTTAAGTGGGAACCTTGTTGTACTTCGTCAGAGTACATTGGCTATAAAGGAACAATTAAAGGTTAATTCCACATTGAAAAGCAGAAAGAAGAAACACAACATTTCTGTTGTTGAGCCCTCTGCCTACTCAGAGCTCAACAGCCAAAACTTGGTGTCCTTCTTTATATATGGTAAATGATTAATAATTAGGTTTCCAAAATGTTGGCTTATATACATTTATTAATATATATACTTCTATTGCTGGACAATTGCTTCCACAAAACTTAAGGACCCCATTGTGGGATAGAGATTGCACTGAAAATGAAATGTTGCTTACACAATAAATTTAATAAAAGCCAGATTCAATTTATTTTATTGTCCACAGAATAATACCTATTTCCTCTTTCTGACAATTACTGAGAAGTGGTCAAACTTTAAGAAAGTAGTCATTGTTGGCACAAATATGAAATAAAAATGAAATCCATACATATAGATTTGTACATACTGGAAATCTGTGCATACTAAATAAGCCACATTCAGATGATGCATTCAGTCCCACCTGTAACTGTCAGTTTTGTCATTGTAGCCCATCCTTTGTTATGGTTTCAGCTTTAATCCTTCTATACTGTGGTAAAAGAGACAGGGTACCATCTCCTCTGATTTTTAATCAACAATTAGGATTTTAAATCAGAACATTAGCAAGAGATACAGAGGATCTTAAAATGCTAATAAAGTTCAAAATATAGAACTTAGAAATTATTAGTTACCCCTGACATTGGAGTAGCAGTTTATAAATAAGTCTGAAACAGAGGGCACTGCCATTATGCCACTGCATCATATTATACATAAATGCAAAGATTCCAATTAAAATATCCACACACCAATGGATTTAGTTTGTTTGTAACAGAAAGAAAGCTGCTGGAAGCTTCATTTCCATTAGGTCACAGATTCTAAGTTTGAAAAGCGTGACAGGAAATGTAAGCAAACATAGATACAGTTTGAATGTTAATTATTGTATGTAATGTTATTACAAATAATATAAAATCAAAGTATATAAGCCAATTATTTTAATATTCCAGAATTACAGTCTCGTAACATGACGGAAAGTTTCTCTTAATGCTGTCTTTTTTAATGGTTGCAAGTCATTCCTTTTCCACAAATGTTTGATTACAAGAAAATGTATTTGTTTAGTTCTTTTCCAGTTATTTAATTAGGTACTTAGAGGGAGAACTATCAAATGAGGTGAAAATAATTTTCTCTTGAGTAAGAATTTGTTTTCCAGATAGCGGTTATTGTAGATAGTATTTACCGTAGTAAAATACAGCAAACAGAAAAAAAATCACATTATAAGGATTTTATTGTTTTATTTTATTGATTTTATTATAATTTTAATGTTGTAGGAGGGTGTGTGTGTACATGCCAGGCAGATTTACAACCATTAGTCCATCAGGGACTAGGTTGCCAGTCAAAGAATAACAGGTAGAGCTGTAAAAGTGATAATTGAAGGCAGGAAGGCTCCACATATTTAAGCAGCGCAGAGAAAGAGCTGTGCTGTTTTCTTGTACCAGACAAACACACTTTGTTGGATCAAATACAAGCCAAAGAAAAAACATTAAGAACCTGTGATCTGCAGCTTGTGTGGCATGTGAAAGCTCTTTGAGTTTTCAAACAGTCAGAATGCATCTGAGTACCATTCTAGTACAAAATCCAGATCCTACATACAGCTAAACAAATAAATTGTCTTGTAATCAAGTTAACGCATACCTGAAGAGGAACATGGGAGACTGACAATCAACATTTATGCACCCCAAATTCTCAAGAGAAATACAGAAAAAGCCAAGACTGTCACAGATGATACAAGGAAATAAAATTTAACAACCCATCTTATCAATAACTCATACCACCAAACAAATGTCCTACACACTGGGACCTGAAAATAGACAAAGAGGATTTTGGAGCTCAAGGCTTCAGTTTCAGGACACCACTCTTTTTAGGCCTTGAAATTCAGATACTGGATTACCAAAAATTAAAAAGAGAAGTGATGGTTCATTCTCTGGAACATTGCTACTCATATATACATCCCTGGAGTTGACATGGCTTACATTTATACATAGAGCTGATATTGTCCTAGAGAAGGCAGACAACAATACAGTTTCCATGTTGGTTGCAATGTTAATCCATCAACACAATGTATAGCTGAGGACATGCAGTGCAGAAGAAGCTTCATTCAGTTTTCCTACCCACTGAAAACATTTGCATGGTAAAGCATTCTGTAAAGAACAGATGAAATGGTTACAGGTCATCTTCACACAGGGATCCTCAAATAAATGTAGACATGCTAGAAATAAAATGGAAGGGAGAGAAGCCACAAAAAGCTCAGAGGAATATTCATGGTGAGTAAAGCCAAAAAGCAGAACCTAAAACAAAATATTAAAATAAAATCAGGTAAATACTTGTACCTAAATGCTAGGGGTGCTGGAAACAAAATGGATAAGATAAAACTACAACACAGGCTATTATGCTAGCCAGCAGCCATATCACCCTGCAACTCACAACTGGCAACCCACTGAAGCTAAGCAGGTGTGAGCCTGGTCAGTACCTGGATGGGAGACCTCCTGGGAAAAACTAAGGTTGCTGCTGGAAGAGGTGTTAGTGGGGCCAGCAGGGGGCGCTCACCCTGTGGTCCATGTGGGTCCTAATGCCCCAGTATAGTGATGGGGACACTATACTGTAAACAGGCGCCGTCCTTCGGATGAGACGTAAAACCGAGGTCCTGACTCTCTGTGGTCATTAAAAATCCCAGGGCTCTTCTCGAAAAGAGTAGGGGTGTACCCCGGTGTCCTGGCCAAATTTCCAATTGGCCCTTACTAATCATGGCCTCCTAATAATCCCCCTCTATGAATTGGCTACATTACTCTGCTCTCCTCCCCACTGATAGCTGATGTGTGGTGAGCGTTCTGGCGCACTATGGCTGCCGTCGCATCATCCAGGTGGGGCTGCACATTGGTGGTGGTGGAGGGGAGTCCCCATTACCTGTAAAGCGCTTTGAGTGGAGTGTCCAGAAAAGCGCTATATAAGTGTAAGCAATTATTATTATTATTATTGGAATCCCAGAAACATGGCTGGCTGAAAGCTAGGAAGATAATCATAAATACCTTTCTGCAGAGACAGGAAAGACGGAAGTGGGGGCAGTGTAGCTGTAAATATCATAAAGAATATTCAGGATCAGGAGCTTAGTCTGGAGGAGGGGTGTTCAACCCCAGTCTCGAGGGGCCCGAATCCAACAGGTTTTAAATCAGATGCACATGGCATTACGGGGTGGAGTGTTCAGTGTGGAGATGTGGAGATGTGCCCTGGATGAATGGTGACACACTATTTTAGTAGCCACAGCCGTTCTGGCTGTTTCATCCCTCACCATGAGGAAGAATTTTTGTGCCAGACTCATGTATAACATTCTAAACATATTGTTAAGAGCATGCTATAAACCACTAAATGCCAATCCTTGTTACAATTCAATTAAATTAAGATTTTCTTTGCACAGTGCTGTTTTTATGCGAGGCTTCAACTTCCCCCATATAGATAGGTAAGAGCCAGTAGGAATGTCAGCAATAGAAACTATAGTGATACACGGGGTTAATCACTAAGTTTTCTCAGTGCGCTGACACATCTACAGGAAATGCTTCTTGGTCTTGTCTATACAAACAACCAAGACAGTGAGTTAGACAAGGGTGTGAGAACAAGCACCTTATGCTTTCTGCCATCCAGAACAAACAATTTGTTTTGTTTTGTTACTGCTTTCAGCTCTTGTACAGTATGTCTAATACAAGTCATGAGACAAAATGTTGAACAATAAGGTGAAAGTTATCAAGGTTATTGAGCATTAGTGTAATTTATCCCTTTGTGACTCATTCTGTTTGAGCTGTCTTCTTGAAATATGGTCTCAGAAAATTGCAAATTCAGCCTGGTTTAAATTAGGCACGTGATTATTTTTCTGGAAAGTTTCCAGATATGTTTTTTGTGATGCTGAGCTTCCTTTTCTTATAATGCTGCACAAATTGAGATTGATCTATATCAACTTTTCTGAATGGTTTAAATGAGACCAGATGGATTACAAAGAAATACTCTTTCTACTTTCTAAGAGTACACTATACTACAACCAAATGATTGCTACTCACAAAAGTACTGCTGCATATGCACATCTGAAGTTACCATCTTCTAAACTTACTCCTGAATGAACATAATGACAAAATCCAGTTGTGATATAGACCTTGCTGAGGAGAAAAATGCTATTTGATTTAAAATTCAATGAGTGTTGTTCAGTATTCAAATACAAGTGTATGTCAATCAGTAAAGAGAAATCATCTACCACAAGCACTATATACTGTAGGTAGGGTAAAGGGTTTCTTTTTCAACAAAATTCTTGCCTGTCCTCTCATTCGTGCCACCACTTCATATAGATATGAAATACACATATAATAAAATGTTGACCCCATAGCTCAACTGTACTGTCACTTGGAACAGTATTAAGTTGTATACTTTTAAACTGTTTTTGACTATAGTTTACTAGCAATGTTATCGGTTTGACTGTTTTGTTTCTTCTTGGCTCTATAATCTGTCTTATTTTAATGTCTTATTTTAACCTTCAAATGTCCTGTGTTTCTATGACTCAGCACTGTGAGACTGGAGCTTGCTGCAAGTCTGCAGTCTCAGCTGATTTTGACCAAGCTGGAAACTTGAATAGGTATACCTAAGGTGACCTTCCTGTGTAACTACATCTAAAATACTCCCAAAACTAGGATACACTATGATAAAACATTTAAAAAAATCTCTGATCTGCCTCTGTGTATCTGAATTTTTTTCTCATGCTATCCTATATTCACTAGTTAGGAAATGTAGTTTTGAAATTTCAGTCATTTTGAGTAAACAAAGCAAATAAATCGTATTGGAAAGCTGCAATCCCATCTCCTAACTAAATAAAAGTGAAAAATAAAATGAGATTGCCCCTGATACTTACAGTACTGATGGTCATACAAGTTCTTCATAGCTCCTGTTCAGATTGTGACCTATGTATATACTTTACCTTAGAGCACAGGGGTTCCAACTTTCACATTGAAGAAAGAAATATCCTTAACTGAAAGAATGAAAGTGCAAGTGTTCCTTTGACTGACATATTTAAAGTTCAGGGTCTTCAAGGTCCTTACCTCAGAAATCCTGATGTCTAGGCCAGGTGAGATCAAAACACTTTTACAGACATCTCCATTGCAACTTGTAGTCAAAAGAAGTGAAGATTGCTACTGCTCTTAACAAGATACTGATAACTAAACCATCACTCCTGTATCTTGGACAGAACTGTGGTCTGATCAAGAATGAAGGATATTCTAGCTTTCTTTTTGGAAAGAAGAGAACTTGTGTAGCAGCTTAGTCTTGTGATCCATTACGTCCTGCGGACTTAGCAAAAATTGAATTAATTCAATTAAAATTACAATGAGTGATATTTAAAATGCACGTATCTGAAAAATAAGTCACAGAGTATCTATAAGCAATGTTAGATATCAGATAACTTTTTGCTCAGGGCATTATCCATTTAGAAATGTGACTTTCGGTCACAGGATGTGTCTAAGTAGAGAAACTGTTACACATGTCTATTGTCTTTGGTCAGTTTGTGAAATCTGAAATGAAAAGCAGGCTTTTGGTGGATTTTGTTATTGCTAATAATTTTATTATTGTGGGATTAGTGTGTCAGTATTGAAGGAGGTGTAGAGATGACTGTAGAGATTCGATTTGTAAATCATGTTTTGTTTGGACCACTCAGTTTCTGTTACATCAGGATGGAGCTCATAATGAACTACAAACACAAAATAATTTATATTAAAGAGTAGCTTTAATAAACCAAATCGATTAACTTTAATATTTTTCCAGGTCTGAAGAAGCTGTAGATTTAAAGGTAGCTATAAGACCTAACAATAAGGAAGAGCTTGACCGATGTGTGATTATGAGAGTCATTTGAAAAATCTGTGCTTCAATACAATTGGTCTTTTTATAAAAAGACCAATTGAAAAGTGTTTCATTAAGGGGTTTTCACGTCTGGAAATTTCTCATGAGGTGATTTGTATTCAAAGGTTTGCAATACATGGCCTCTTGGTGTCACTGTAATTAAGAAAATCCATTTGTGTAGATTATAGTTGAAACTCAAATGCAAAAAATACTGCTATTGGTCACAAATTTCAGCTATGTAATACTAGGAGTTTGCTGAAATGTTGAAAATTCCATAAAGCCTTATTTTGTTACTAAAAGTTCTGTACCATAAAATACAATCAGTTAGGTCAATTTAATTCTGGTTATGGCACTACATACTGATATTATTGCTCAGAACGTTACAAGACATCCATGTTATATTCTCTGTCTGGGTTCCCGCCCTAGTTCCAGTGTTCCTACGCATTATAAAAGGCACAAAACAGGAAGTAGGTAAAATGTATTTATTTTAAAAATACAGAAATCAGTAAAAGAATGATTTTTCCACACTCAGAAAGTGACTGATATTGCTTTTGTGAATAATTATGATATTTCTAGTGTTTTCTCTGAGATCGGTGACCTTCAGACCTTCCGGTGACGTAGCAGTGGGTTACAAACAGATACCTGCACACGCTTACCGTATTAACCACATAAATAAAAGCACTCATGGATTGTACAGCCTGCTTTCTTAATGCTTTACAAGGAATGAAATGTATTTAGCATATGGCGCACACATTGCTGAATATGTAAGGTAACAGTTAAAACTCTTGGCGTCGCTGTTCACTAACAGAATAAAAAAAGAAGACATATACTGTACCACCAGACGTTAAAGCCTTACGATTTAGCAGCACATTGAAATTCCAAAGGACGGATATCAGCGCAACAAAAGGCCGTTGCTCTCTTGGAATATAAAATTTAGTGTGACGGTTGCTCAAGGAATGTCTTGTTCTGCAAACAAACGCGAGATGCAAACCTTCGTCAGCGTTTTATTTTCCTTTGTCTTGGCTTCCAGTGCAGGACTGTCCAAAATCCGATATTCGATTCCTGAGGAAATGGAAGAAGGGTCTATTGTTGCCAACTTTGCACAAGATGTGGGGATTGATCCTGAAAGCCTTTTGAAACGAGATCTCCGGATTGCTCTGGGTCCGGGTAAGCAGTATATTAAGGTTAATAAAGACAGTGGCAAACTGTACATTAATGAGAAAATGGATAGGGAGGAGATATGTGAATCAAATGCAAACTGCTTTCTGTATATGGAGGTAATTATCGAAAATCCTTTTAAAATATACAGTGTTGAAATAGAGATAACTGATATTAATGACAATACGCCGAGATTTCCAAAGAACGTGATGGAGCTTGAAATTTCGGAGTCGGCTCTACCAGGAGAATGGTTTTCTTTAGACAAAGCAGTTGACCCAGATGTTGGAATAAACAGTGTCCGCTCTTACAACCTAAGCGAAAATGACTATTTTGACATAGAAGTGAAGTCCCTAATGGATGGATACAAATTCGCAAATCTCGTTTTAAAAAAGGCTTTGGACCGGGAGAAACAGCCAGTGCATCATTTATTACTGACCGCTATAGATGGGGGAGCCCCCGCAAAGTCCGGCACTGCCAGCATCACTGTCCGCGTTTTGGATGTCAATGACAACGCCCCTCAGTTTGATCAGGAAATCTTCACTGTTAATATAACAGAAAATCCACAAATAGGCAGCCTTGTGATTAAGCTGAAAGCCACAGATCTAGATGATGGCACCAATGCAGAAATAGTGTATTCATTCAGCAGGTACATGTCAGGGAGAGCACTGGAAAAGTTCAACCTGGATTACAAAAACGGAGAAATAAGGGTTAAAGGAAAAATAGACTTTGAAGAATTCAAAGCTTACGAGCTTTACGTTGAAGCTAAGAATAAGGGTCTAGTATCGTTAACAGGTCACTGTAAAGTGGTCATTCAAGTAATTGACATGAATGATAATTCACCCGAAATCATTGTTACGTCTTTCAAGAGTCCAGTCTTAGAGAATATTCCAGTCGGGACGGTAATTGCTCTTTTTAGCGTCACGGATTCAGACTCCGGTAATAACGGAAAGGTTGACTGTTACATTTCCCAATTCAAAGAATTTGAACTCCAACAGTCCTTAGAAAATTATTACGCTCTGGTGACGCACGAACCTCTGGATCGGGAAACTGTCCCCGAGTACAACATCACTATTTCAGTGCGAGACAGGGGGGTTCCCTCTCTGTCGAACAACCACACGATAACCTTGGAGCTCCTGGACATCAACGATAACCCTCCCACATTTGAAGACTCTTCCTATACCATTTCGATAGTGGAAAACAATGTGCAAGGTGCTCTGTTAAGATCCATAGTAGCTTTTGATCCCGATTTAAATCAAAACAAGCAGGTTACATATTTGATGCTGGAAAACAGACATCTAAATAATTCGGTGTCTAAATACTTTTCCGTTAATCCAGAGAACGGCAATATTTATGCACTCCAGACCTTTGATTATGAAACCGAAAAGGAGTTCCTTTTTCACATTGAGGCTGTGGACGCCGGTGTTCCACCTTTGAGGAGTAACGTAACTGTCAGTATAATCGTTCTCGATCAGAATGACAACAGTCCAGTTATTGTTTCTCCATGGCGCGCACAGGGATCTGTAGCTGAAGAACTGATCCCGAGATCTACTGATAAAGGATACCTGGTGACAAAAGTGATCGCCATTGACGCAGATTCCATACAAAACGCTCGCATTACATACCAGTTTCTGCAACTTACTGACTCCAGTTTATTCAGTCTGGACCAATACAATGGAGAAATCCGGACTATGAGAATGTTCAGTCAAAGAGATTCTCGCAAACAAAGGCTGGTAGTTCTAGCGAAGGACAATGGGGAACCTGCCCTCTCTTCTACAGTTACAAGTTATCAACAGTTGAACCTGTTGTGAAAGCTTTATCTGGGGAACCTGAAATGCCTTTGGAATATGATATATTTTCTGATTTAAATCTGTACTTGATCATCAGCCTGGGCTCTGTTATTTTATTATTCTTGATAACTATACTTGTAATAATCGTCATCAAGTGTCAGAAACCAAAGCCAGTTGAAGAGCCTCCTCCCTGTAGGAACAGTTTCCCCAGCCTCAGGAACTCTATGAACTCTCAGATAGCGGACTCCACCTTGATCTCCAGCGATGCCTACTGGTACAGTTTGTTTCTAGCGGAGACACGGAAGGGAAAAGTGGTTGTTAGACAGACTGTGCCGAACGGGGCTGGATACATCGTTTCCAGTATACCAAGGAGCACAGGACTCACAGAGACAAGTGACTCAGCAGCGTCAACATTGCAGGTATGTACATTGCAATGTCCTAGTATTTAGTTTTGTAGACGTATTGTGTTTTGCATAGTAACTAACCACTGGTATTATATATATCTAGATAACTGAAAGTTTCAAATTTAAAGTAATAGTATAATATTAGCGTTTTACTACTGTATTACGGTCGCTTTGTATGAAGAATCATGTAGTTTTGAGACCATTCATGAAGCACAATTTTAGCGTCTTGATCGAAATAACCAACGCCTGCTCTCGGGAATAACACTAATTCTTTGTCCCAGAATGTAGAAGTCGAACAGTCTACTACCTCTGAGGTTGTGTTTTTACCCATTTTCTTGATGTTAGTTAAGACCTAAATGGAATACTAGAGATACAGTATATTCATGTGGTTTGACGGAACTGTACATACTTCCCTGCGTTATATTGCCCGCTATTCAGAAAACAGACACAAAAACTGGCCGATAAACAAGACTAAATACTATAGTGATATATAACGAACTAGTAACATCTCCTGTTCTAAAATCTACAAGTGCGTCCTTCAAAAAAACATATAAAGCTTTTCATAGAATCACAAAACACGCATTGTATCTATCATTTGACAACCAAAATCAACCAGTTTGTACTCTCATATATTCCCAAAACATTAAAAATGTGACTTTAACACGTGATATTTAATAAAAGTGGAATGGAAGCATAATATTTAACAAAAGGTTAAAGAACTAAGACTGCTTCTAATAATCTTGATGGTTTCCCAAAATTTATAGCTTCTATATATGTTAGAAAGCAATAATATATCCAGGAATATGACGTTTATGTTACTATTATTCTAACATCAAGACACATAAGGAAACGATTTTCTATACCAACTTTTTCATTTTCTAAAATATATTTAAATGAATAAAAATAAGGTTAATTTTTTTAGAAAATATAGACTGGTAGATTGCATATACATTGTAGTTTATTACACCTCAAAATAAGTTAGTACATGAAAACTCACGATGTCGCTGTTCACCAGCAAAACGAGAAGAGGCTTTACCTTTAAACTGCAGAATGCAATTGTATTTGGTTCCCGTTGAATGGTGAAGTGCGGTGGTAATGCGTTTCTGCTTGCAGTTCCATAACTGAATAGAGGACGCTTTCGGGTTTATTTATAGGAAGAAATTCACAATAATAAACTGGCTTTCATCGATTTGATCCGCGACATGAAAAGGTCAGTCGAAGTCTTGGTTTTGCTGTCCGTGGCGTGTCGTCTTGTTCATTCCAGGATTCGATATTCGGTATCCGAGGAACTGGAAGAAGGTTCTATTGTTGCTAATTTAGCTCGTGATATTGGACTTGATACCGGCAGCCTAGTGAATCGGGACCTCCGAATTGCTTTAGGTCCCGGTAAACAGTATATCGAGGTGAATAAAGAGAATGGTAACTTATACATCAATGAAAGAATAGACCGGGAAGAACTGTGTGGTTACAAAACCGAATGTTTTCTGTATTTAGAGGTAATAATAGAAAATCCTCTGAAAATATACAGCGTTGAGATAGAAATTACAGACACAAATGACAACGCACCTAAATTTCCAAGGTCCACAATACAACTGGAAATTTCGGAATTAGTTTTACCGGGAGAGAGATTTTCTCTGGACAAGGCAGTTGACCCAGATGTGGGAACCAACAGCGTTAGCACGTATATCCTTAGTGAAAATGGTCATTTTGATATTGAGGTGAAATCGTGGAAAGACGGGTCACTGTTTGCTAATCTGATCCTAACAAAAGCTCTAGACAGGGAGGAGCAGGCCGTTCATGATTTTATACTGACTGCTGTTGATGGCGGAGTCCCCGCACATTCCGGATCTGCCAGCATCATCGTCCGTGTCCTAGACGCCAATGACAACGCCCCTCAGTTTGATCACGAAATCTATACCGTCAACATTACGGAAAATATCGATAAAGGAGCCCTAGTTGTCGACCTCAACGCGGTCGATCTAGACGAAGGGACCAACGCGGATATAGTATATTCTTTTAGTAGGCTCATGTCAAAATCCACACAGGAGAAATTCGCCTTGAATTCTGCGAATGGAGAGGTGAGGGTTACAAAGGAAATAGATTATGAGGAAGCCAAAAGTTACGAACTGTACGTGGAGGCTAAAGACAGAGGTCCAATTTCATTGGTTGGGCACTGTAAAATTGTGATACAAGTAAGCGACACGAATGATAATTCACCCGAAATTATCATTACGTCTTTTAAAAGTCCGGTCTTGGAGAGCATACCCGTAGGAACTGTAATTGCGCTCTTCAGTGTAACGGACTCAGACTCGGGGGAAAATGGAAAGGTTGATTGCTCCATTTCTGAAATCAAAGACTTTGAATTGCAACAGTCGTTGGAAAACTATTACGCGCTGGTAACACGAAAATTACTAGATCGAGAAACTACCCCAGAGTACAATATTACCGTATCTGTGAGAGACAGGGGGTCTCCTCCGCTGTCAAGAAATAAAGTAATCAATTTGGAGCTTCTAGATGTGAACGACAATCCCCCAGCATTCCAAGAAACTTTCTACGCAATTTCAGTAATGGAGAACAACGTACAGGGTGAACTTTTAAGATCAATTGTTGCTGTAGATCCAGATTTAAACGAAAATAAGCAGGTTACCTATTCGATGCTAGAAAACACTCAATTAAATAATTCCGTGTCACAGTATTTTTCCGTTAATCCAGAGAACGGAAATATATATGCTTTAAAAACACTAGACTACGAGAAAGAGAAAGAGTTCCTCTTTCATGTTGAAGCGAAAGACTCTGGGGTTCCACAACTCAGAAGTAACGTCACTGTCCATATAATTATTCTCGATCAGAATGACAACAGTCCAGAAATCGTGTCTCCCTGGCGCGCACATGGTTCGGTAGCCGAAGAACTGATCCCAAGGTCTACTGACAAAGGATTTCTGGTGACCAAAGTGATCGCCATTGATGCGGATTCCATGCAAAATTCGCGGATTACGTATCAGTTTCTTCAAATCAGCGACTCCAGTTTATTCAGTCTGGATCAATTCAATGGGGAGATCAGAACAGCGAGAATGTTCAGTCAAAGAGACTCTCGGAAACAAAGATTGGTTGTTCTCGCAAAGGACAACGGGGAACCTGCTCTGTCTTCTACAGTTACTATCAAGTTATCTACTGTGGATCCTGCCTTAAAAGCTTTATCGTCGGAGACTGAGGAATTAGTGGAATATGATATATTTTCTGATTTAAATGTGTATTTGATCATCGGTTTGGGAGCAGTGTCTTTTCTTTTTTTAATCACTTTATTAATTATTATCCTGGTGAAGTGTCAGAGACCAAAGCCGGTTGAAGAGCCTCCTCCCTGTAGGAACAGTTTCCCCAGCCTCAGGAACTCTATGAACTCTCAGATAGCGGAATCTACCTTGATCTCCAGCGATGCCTACTGGTACAGTTTGTTTCTGGCGGAGACACGGAAGGGAAAAGTGGTTGTTAGACAGACTGTGCCGAACGGGGCTGGATACTTCGTTTCCAGTATTCCAAGGAGCACAGGACTCACAGAGACAAGTGACTCAGCAGCGTCAACACTCCAGGTAAGAACGCGTTTTATTCATTGTGTTTAATGCTTCTTCTATCTGTGATAAACATCCCCCGGGTCTATTCGTGACGATTATCCAGATTTAGAACACATTGGTATTACAATGCTGAACGTACATCTTGTTCGCACGAGTTTTCAAACTGTGTTTCTTCTTATTCCGCTGTCTTCGGAACGAACAGTGAAACATGAAACGGGGACAGAATTGAATCCATAGATCACTTACTGTAGCTGTTTGAAACCTAACGGGTTCGATGGACTGACTGACCTATTTCTTTTTGAAGACAGGTATTAGATTTTTAATTTAAGTGTTGGACATTTTCAATATAAAATGTGCTTTTTTGGGGACATTTTAACTGCTAAATTATTTTTGAATGGGTAACCGAAGTGATGCGATTAGTATAGACGTCCATCAAAAAAGGAAAAAAAAAGGAGAAAATTAAAATATCAGACGTCCATGCCGATGTTTGGGGCATCAAAGTTATTTGAAACAGAAAATTCATGTTTTTAGTTGGAATTAAAGACCACAGAAGCTTGTTTCTACTACTTATCCTAAGACCTTGTCATTCGCCACTAATAAAAACAGTGGTGACGCAAAAGTACGTGTAGGATTTAACGCATTTGTTAGACTTTCAGTTGATTTTTTAAAGACCTTAGCCTATGTGTATGTAACTCTTCTGATTGAATGAGAGGGTACACATACTCAGGGTATGTGCATATTTTAAAATATTTTTGTTAATATAATGTTTATGTAAATTATTTATTTTTTCGTGATTCCACAATATGAGACGCTTTAATTGCAGATGAAATGAAAGGCTTTATTTTCAGTACAGTTGCGCGGAGGTAACCGCTTGTGCCTCAGTTGCTCTGAATAACTATTTACTTTTTGTTCCATCTATCTTTGCTGGCTAGTTAGAAGTTTTCCTTTGAAATGAGCCCAAATCACGCTGATTATAGTAGTTAATTCTTACATGAATGCATGTTGCAGATTTACGCACAGGGTGTCGCTGTTCACCAGTAAAATTAAATTCTGGAGATACTATATCCTTTCAATACCACACAGAAGGCTGTCTGAGCAGACAAACGTGATGCCCGCAGCGTCAGCTATTCTAACAAAGGAGACATTTTTCAGATGTTTTTAGACGGAACACGTTTAGTATTGCTTGTTCCATATTTCCGGACAGACTAATTCGTTGACATGGAATTCCATGGCGTTATTTTTGTATTATCTATGGCATGTAGTGTAGCTAGCTCTAAAATGCGTTACTCCGTCCCAGAAGAAATGGAGAAAGGGTCTGTGATAGCCAATTTGGCGAAGGATATCGGGGTTGATGTGGACAGTTTAATGAAACCGGAGCTCCGGATTGCCCTGGGACCAGGCAAGCAATTCTTGGATGTAAACAAAGAAAATGGGAATTTATACGTTGTGGAGAAAATTGATCGAGAGGAACTATGTGGATCTAAGACAAACTGCTTATTGAACCTGGAGGTTATCATTGAAAATACGCTGAAAATATACGCTGTTGAAGTGGAGATCACGGACATAAACGACAATAGCCCGCGATTTCCAATAAATCGCATTGAACTAAATATTTCAGAATCCGCTTTACCAGGAGAAAGATTTTCTCTGAAAAAGGCCGTCGACCCAGACATAGGAGTAAACACCGTGCGTGAGTATAAGCTGACTAAAAATGATCATTTTGATATTGAAGTTCAGACATGGAGCGACGGGTCCACATTTGCCGATTTACTGTTGAAAAAATCACTGGACAGAGAAGATCAGGCTTTTCACAATTTAATACTCACCGCTATCGACGGCGGAGACCCCGTTCAGTCCGGCACTGCGAGCATCATTGTCCGTGTTCTGGATGCTAATGATAACGCCCCTCGGTTTGACCAGCAAACCTACAACGTGAGTATAACCGAAAATGCTTTGTTAGGAACTCTCGTATTGAAATTGAATGCTACAGATTTAGATGAGGGATCTAACGCGGAGATCGTCTACTCCTTTGGGAGATTCACATCTGAAAAAGTGCAGGACGCATTTACCTTGGATTCCAAAACGGGCGAGATCAAAGTAAAAGGCATTTTAGATTTCGAGGAATACAACTATTATGAATTATACGTTCAAGCAAACGACAGGACACCGAATGCAATGGTCGGGCATTGTAAAGTAGTTATACAAGTAACAGATACAAATGACAATCAGCCAGGCATTATTATCACATCTTTCAACAGTCCAGTTGCAGAAAATATCCCCGTCGGTACAGTGATAGCAGTATTTGGTGTGACTGATTCAGATTCCGGGGAGAATGGGAAGGTTGACTGTAGGATTTCTGAGACTCGAACGTTTAAACTGCACCAATCCTTGGAAAACTATTACGCGATGGTGACGTCAGAACCACTAGATCGTGAGACTACACCCGACTATAACATCACCATCACCGTGAGAGACCGGGGAGTTCCTCCTCTGTCCACAAGCAAAACATTGTCCTTAGAGCTTTTGGATGTTAACGACAATCCACCAATATTTAAAAAACGTTTATATTCTATACACGTGATGGAAAATAATATGCCTGGGGATCTGTTGACTTCTATAGTTGCTTTTGATCCGGATTTAAACGAAAACAGGCAAATTACGTATTCTGTCGTGGAAAACGCAGGTGTGAATGTGTCGGTATCTCAATTCTTCTCGCTCAATCCAGAGAACGGTAATATATACGCGCTCCAGTCTTTGGACTACGAAACGCATAAGGAATTTCAATTCTTTGTTAAAGCTAAGGATTCGGGAACTCCGCCCCTGAGTAGTAACGTTACTGTTCATATAATTGTTTTGGATCAGAATGACAACAGTCCAGTTATTGTTTCTCCATGGCGCG